AGCAACAAGACAGAATCAGATCATGTTGTCTCTAAATAAAAATAACCTAAAACTTTTAAGTCTAAATATGTGAAAATGAATGTTTTATATCATTCCATGTAAATTTTAAATTTTCAGTGCAATGAAAATCAGAATTCCCCAACCACTACTTACTTATAAGAATAAATTTTTACCTTACAAAGATAACATGTAGTTTTAATGATTTCAGGAGAAATGGCTTTATTATAAAATATTTATATATGTACAGTTCCTCCATTTTACTATCAAATATATGCTCTCTACTTTCACTTGTAACTCTGAGCAAGAGTCATTTCTTACATAGCTTTTGGTTGATGCATTATGACTCATTAGTTAGGTCTTCATTACCTAATGAAACCTGTTTCATCCATGTAGAATAAGGATAGTTTTTTTTTTTCCTATTTTGATCTCCATGTCCACACTTTGCTACCCAGTCTCAATAAAAATCTGTCTTTTCAAGTTATTTCTATTATTTTGACTTTTTTGCTGTCATTTCTCCAAGAACATCCAAATGCTGGAAGAAAACAGCTCACTACTTAGTATTCTGTTCCCTTTCATGCTGTTATTTCTTTTTTAAATTAATTATTTTTAAAAGTTGAAATAAAATTGACTTGCTTTATTGGTATTCTGGAAGTATAGGAGCCCTCCACTCTCAAGATTTATCTACCTTCGTGCGTGCACCTGCAGCCAAGCACCACATTCCCTTTTGCCCCTGTGCCTCTTTGTTTTTACCCTGCCTCCAGGACTCCCCTGTCTGGATGCTTTAGTTCTCTAGTCAGCAGGAAAAGAAAAGGATGCATTTTGAACCAGGAAGTCACCATGGAAGAGTTTTCAACCTTGCGCTGAACTTTGGGGTCTCTGGGACAAAAATCTCATAGGATTTTTCTCCACTAAAGGCAAGGAATTTTATATTTCTAATCCAAATCAGTGATTTATTAGCTGTGGTCTCCTCCAGAATGAGAGTTGCACCTGGAGAGCCTGTTCCTATGAGCAAAGCGTAGTTCTTCAGTAAATGAGAATGCTGGAAGTTTTCAGCACTCAATACTTATAATACTTGGGATAGGCCCTCTGGCCAGGTAACCTGGGTTGGCTTGAGTTATGTACAGCCGTCAATGAGACACCTTTTTGAGAATGATCTTTTTTACAGCCCTATATGTTTAGATGCTCTATTCTCATATTATGTTACTCACATCTAACATTTCTACTAGTTTTCTTTCTTCCTCTCTTGCATATTTTACTCACAGTGCTAAATTTATGGTACTCCTCCTACTCTTGAAGATGTGTAGGCTTCCAAATTTAAATTGTATTTTTTTATTGAGGTGCTGACATATTACACCTTTTATTATCCACATGTATGTTATCTGTTGATATGCACTATAGAAATCATTTCATACAATTTCATGACTCCAACAACTATGATATTTTAATATTTGTGTGAGCTTATTCATACCCTTCTAGATCCAAATATGCACTTTCATATTTGGAACACTGAGATATTGCATAAATATCTCATGGATATCACATGAAGTCAGTATACTAGAAGTTGAAATTAAAATTATTTTTGTAAAATTATTCCTTATGTTCATTGAATAGTGCTCTCATTATTCATATCATTCACATTAAAAGGATTTATTTCTTTCTCTCTAGAGCCTCACTCAATTTGACATGAACTAAATAGTCAACAAATGTTTACAATATTTATGAATAACATTTGGTCACCGCTTACTTAAATTATGTTTTCTTGAGTTAATGTTGACTTACAACACTGTATATGATTTAGGTAGAGAGGGTCACATTTCTTCAAATATATATCACCATTTTACACTCACCCAATAACCATTGGACTCCTTTCTCCATTTTATCCCTACCTATTGTCAACTTTCTCCTTCTGATAACCCTAATACTATATTCTAAACTACAAAACTGTAAACAAAATATTATGGTATTGTAATAAAAACAGACCATAGACCATTGGGATAGAAATGAGCGTCAGAAATAAACCCACACCTTTATGCACAATTTACTGCAAAGGAGATAAGTATACAATGGAGAGAAGAAAATCTTTTCAACAAATGGTTTTGGGAAAAATGAACAGCCAATGAACTAAGTGACACCATGCACAAAATTCAACACAAAAATGATTTAATACTTGCATGTTAGATGTGAAACCATAAGATACACCAAAGAAAACACACAAACCCCAACACATTGATTTCAATCATGTCTTTAGGGAAGATGCAAGGGCAAAGAAAAAAGAAAAAAAGCCAAAATAAATGAAAGGGACTACAACAAACCAAAAGGCTTCTACATGGAAGAAGAAAGCATCATTTAAAAGACAAGAGATCCTATCATATGGGAGGAAATATTTACATACCCTACATTTCATAACCAAGATCTACAAAGAAATCATGCAACTCAAAAAAAGTATAGAACCCAAACAACTTTTTATTATCTTAAGTTATTACTCTTTTCTTTGATTCAAGAAGAAACACATCAGGCAGTGATGTAAACATTAAATAAAAATTAAAATGAATATTTGCCAGAGAGACTTTTTTTTAGATCATTAATGACCCATGGTAGTTAAATTTTCTTTTTACAATCTAATGAACTTGAGTTTAAAGTGTGTGATAATAAGATATTATATTAGTGAAAATTGAGTTAGCATTGCTTTGTTTCTGAATGATACAGTATTTTATAATTACTACTATTTTTTAAGCATGTGATTGTTATATTGCTGTAGTTATATAAAATATCCAATAGATGGTACTATAAAATGCCTAATATTTAAAATAAAGTGGTGTTTCATGTAGAAAGCTTAAAAGGGGTATCTCATAATTCTAGGGATTATCAATACATTATCCTCTAGATATTAAGTTTTATTTATAACCTGATTTTTAAAAGTATTCCTTAGTCCTTTAAGATATCATATTCACTGTTAGTGTATCTCAGAGTATGAAAAGAAAATGTTTGCTACTAAATGGAATTTTATAATTATTTATATTCTATTAATAAATTTCTTTTGTTCTTTTTTATGATGATTTCCCATAGTATTGTGGAATTATAGTTAATATTACTGAAATCACAACATTTACAGTAAGCACTATGGTTGTATGTATTTATTATAAAATTTTCAGGGTAGCTTTTATGTTAAAAATTTAGAAAACCTGCTGGAGACAGGTTCTTGCTTAACAAGGAAGTAGACAGTTTTTTTTTCTTCTTTCATTTTTTTTTCATCTTTATAATGCCAACCTAATAATGAATGAAACGTTGTATTATTTTGTTAGTATAATGTGGATTCAACATGTATAATACATACATACATATATATATATGTAGATATATGATATTTTGTAGGTAAAATTTCTTTTAAAAAGACTAGCAATGCTTTAAACATTGATTTGGTTAGGGTTTTCTCCTAAAAATATCATCTGAGAAAAATAGCAGTTTGTAGATGGTTTACTTTATCTTAGTGTTTATTCAGAATTCCATTATAAAATGGTGTCTGTGAATTCATACCTAATTTTGACTTCCAGAACTAAGTTCTATAAAACCTGTCTAAAGCTAAAAAGGGTTGAAGAATTATGGAATAACTTAGAAAAGCTTAACAGTCTGTTTATAACTTAATTAAATGTTACATACAGCTTTAAATATTTTTGTTATTTATAGTCTCAAATAAGTATAAATATTTATATTAAGGTTATTTTTAATTGATTTTTGAATATTGAACATGACTGTTGAATATTGCATTGGGAAGTATGCCAGGTATTTGGGAAATTAAGATGAACAGCTTTTAGGAAGAACGTTTTTGCATCAGTCAGCAGCTTCAGAAGGGATATGTATTATATGTGCCTGAACTTCTTTATGCATTTACTATTTTCTCCATGTTTTGTATAATTTGAATGTGGAGTATGACAATTGTGTATCCTCTTAAAAAGAAGATATTCTTAGTTGCATGCAAATGTTCTGCTTAAAGAAAATATGCTAATTAAATAACTTGATCTAGCTTAAGTCATTGAGACCTTTATTCAAACAATCAGTTCGTTAAGTCTAGGCTTTCCCGGGCACTTTCTCCTAAGCCATGTCAGAACAAATAGATCTGTAATAGGAGTATGTAGGAAGAACAACTAATTTACTTACTGTGAAAAGTTAATTTTGCCTACTAATATAGCCTGTGTGATGATCACATCTTTGTGGAGTCACCAAGGGATAATGTGGTTTCTAAAATCCTGCTTAGATTCTTTAAATTTTGGTATGCTTTTCAAATACTGTGACATACACTGGTTCATTTTTCAATTTTCAAATATACTAGATGTACAGCACATTACATAGCAAGATTTCTGCTTGAGCTAAATGGGTTTAAACATAAACTGTGCATGCAGATCTCAAGCGATTGTTTCTTAATAGATGTCAGATACTCTTTATTGCTGCCCTCTTTTATTTCATGAACATTTTAATTAATTCACACTGATTGAATAAATGTACATTGAGACTTGTTTCCTAATGAGGGTGCATTTAGAGGAAAGGTTTTGCATCATTCTGATATCCTGTGGGTAATTATATTCTAATTATATGGTCGAGGGAAAAGAGTCTATAACCCACTACTGATATTGTTCGTTGGACCCAATTAATTACATGCACATAATGAAAGTTCATGATAAGGTTGACTGGCAGTCAGTGTAAAATTTTAACTCAATTGAATCTTAGCCTAACGTGAGTCCAGAATTGCACTTTAACCTAGTTAGAAAGTGCTTTGGCATAAGATCAGTGGATATTTAGAGGGGCAAAGGAGGAGAGCAAATTTCATTACAACTAATTTGTTTTTAAATTCATGGTCTTTTCCAAGATGATGAAAAGGAAAACAAAGCAGCCTAATGCTTTTATTCTGAATGTTATTATTTATATTCTTTCATTACCTGCTATGAATGTTGCCTGTATTTTGGAAAGCAGCATTGCCCTAACTACTGAATGATAAATTTCTAGAGCAAGTTCAGGCATTTGTTGAGAAAAGAGTTGTACATGACAGGCAGTACTATTGATTACTTTTTTAAACATAAAATTAAGTAGACATTGATCTATTACATTAGGTTGTTTAGCGCACCTTTTTATTAACAATCACTAATTTCAATCAGACCTCTGTCCCAATATAGTCACAAAATAATTAAACTTACGTAAATATTCAGGAATGGGTATGTAAAATAAGAGTCCTAAAATGAAAGAAAAATATAATGGATAAAACATGTAAATCCCACTTTGAAACATGATTTGTTGAATTTTTGTTGCTTAAGCATGTTGCAATACCTCCTCCAATAGCAACAACAAAAATCCTTGCCATTCTGTAAATAGTAGCTCCTTTCTTTCTCGTGCTCAATTGCATTATTTTCTTTGCTGAGACTTTTAAAAGGATAGTGTCTGAGATTCAGGACAGCAGGGGAAATTTTACTCTTCTAAGCCTCAACTTTCTTCTACTTCCTTTTCTTCCATGCCATTTCCTTGTTGATCTCTCCTCTCCCTTTTACTTTTTACTATGCCTCTTCCTCTCCCTTTTACTTTTCACTATGCCTCTCACCTAAGAGCCCTAACATAGATGTTTTCATTAGAGAAAGCAAAATAAAACAAAAACTATTGGGTCCAATTTACGGTTAGCATGAAAAATGGTTTTGGATGAAGAATATGCAGCAGTTCTCTTGTTACTGTTTAAAGAGGCTGTGGAAACATGGGGAATTTATGGGTGTCTGAGGATGATAAAATTACATTATTGACAATTTAAAATTGATGGAAATACTTTGATCCTTTAGGGTAAATACAATTGTAATCCCTCTGTGTATGTGAGGAAAGGGAAATTTAGAGAGATTGCATTCATCTAAAGTTACATGACATACTCAAAGCCCCATGTTCTAAACCTATTTTTTTTTTCATTTCATGCTGTAGTCTTCTATACTAGGTAAGGTGTGAAATAAGTTTAGAGAGATAGAGTAGCTTTTAAAAAAGGAACAGAAAAAAATAGAGGAAAGTGTTGAAGAATAGAAGTGAGGAGAGAAGAGCATAATGGAATATATCAGAAAGTAGGGCACGTATATTAATGGTTTCTGTATAACTATTTCACAAGTATATAAACATGTAAACATTCATATTGTAGATCACAGCTAAAAAGAAATTGAAGAGCTCTTTATTAACCATGTTGCCTTCTGATAATTTTGATACCTAACCAAGTTGGATAACATTTTATGATGGTTTTGTTTCACTGGCTAAGTAAGAAATGCAAGAACAGTGACATTAAAAAGACTTTTAGTTGTTCTTGTTGATTGTTTTCATATGTAGAAATCTATGTTTGACATAATTTGAATACCTCTAAAAAGGACATTTTAAAAATTGTTATTGCCAATATTTGACACTCCTTAAGTTATATTAACCCATATTGATAATGAAGCCAGTTTTGTTCAGACAAAACAGAATTGCATGTGATTTCCAAATACTTTGCAGTGTTCTGCATTTTAAAATGTCCATTGCACTAACTTGCTCTCATACTTCAGTGTGTTTCCTTTTAAAACACAAACACGCCTGCTATTGAGGGACTTGTTGAGGAGGAAACCCCACCCTCGCATCTCTTCAGTATCTCCTCAATAAAACTGAAAATATATATTGGCAATCACATTCACAAAGTTAAGAATTGAATCTTTTTTTGTATGTTTTATAATTATACAGACAGTGAAGTCATCTCATTTAAAAATATTATCTTTATATTTATATTGGTGTAAACTTAAAAATGTAACTGAAATGGTTCCGAAATTTGGAAACTTTACTAGATGTTTGTCTTCCAAAACATTTTATTGTCAAATGTTACATTTTAATTAATATGTCAGAATGTCACACGAAAGAAAAAAAACAATTTTTGGCTCTTTTAATTGACATATGTTACATACATTGAAGTAACCTTTGATTAAAGATGCTGTTAAATGAAACAATATAAAAATAATTTCTATCTAACTTCTTTTAAAAATACATAGTCTTCACATGTGGATAATAAATACCTAAGGACCTGAAAAATCACAAAATGTTAAAAAACTGATGAAGCTGGAATGTAAAAATAAAGCTGATCATATTCAAAGGTATTTGGGTTTTAAATTCTCCAAAAACTATTGATATATTTTACTTTTGTGCTTGAGGGAGGAACAAATTCACCTCTTAGGCGGAGACATTGTATTATTTTAGAAAGACAACTGTTGTTTTTCAAAACCTGCTTTTTTCTCTCTGATGCCATAAATACACAATTATGCACAAGGAAAATATTTAAAATAGTGTTATTTGGCTACCTTATACCACACCACTGAAAATTATAGGTTATATTAATCATATTGACACTCAATCCATTTCTTTTTTCAGACTAAACAGAATTGCATGTGGTTTCTAAGTAATTTGCAGTGCTTATCAACATTTTAAAATAATTTGATTTTCAGTCACTTAAACAATAGACATAGCTATAAGAAGAAACTAAAAAAAAAGAAAAAGAAAAAAATCTTGATGAACCTGCTGTTATTTATATAAATGGAGCTTGAGATAGAGGAGCAATATGTATGAAATCTGTCACAATTTTCTTGAACTAGTCATTTTAGTTTTTCTGTATTTTTAGTTTCCCAATCAGAAACTTGGGCTATTTGATTTTAATATTGAGGATTGAATGAAACAGTAAACATGGAGAGAATAAAAAATATGAAATTTGTTATAGGCATAAGGTATGATTGTACCAAGTTTACTTTAGTATTGAAATAACTGACCCTATTTTAATGTGCATACTGTGCTATTAAAATTTTAACTCAGTAAAGCCTCCAATAATCTCTTTACCCTATGACAATTTGGATTAAATTGTCAATTTAAAATGATTACATGTTAGAAAATATGAAGACAAGAGATATCTCAATACTTAAGAATAATAGAGTTTTTAAAATGTCTTTGATATTTATTCATTTAAAGTTAATAAGAGCCCTGAAGGCAAATGCATCTTTTAAACTAATTATCTGCACTGTGTATTCTACTTAATATTAAAGTGATACTGTTTCAGTCACATAGTCACATCCCCTATAATCACACCTCTAGTTTTATTAAATAAAAATATACAGTGCTTACATTAATTCTGATTAAAAATGCATTTAGAATTTTACACTCCCATCATGAAATTTTCTAGAAACTAAACCATTTACACTGCTTTTTCTTGATATTTTAAAAAGAGGAGTAAAATATATATTTGAAAGGTGATGTTAAAAATTGATACAGCGGACTTGTTTTCTTCATGGTACTTATTTTTAATTTACATAGATACCATGGTTTTCTTACCATGTTAAGTCAGGGATAGGCTAGTTAGGGGAGTGCTAATTTAATATATGCTTTACTTATACGTCTTATATGTCACAGCTCATATATCACTGTAAGGAGGCTCATTCATAATATTGTTTTCATCATCTTTAATCTTGGTGTGAATTTTTAGTGTCTTCTTTCTCAGACAACTGAATGATACTAGAAAAAATTCTCAGAGCTGGTGGCTTCCTCTTACATATTTACAACATCTGGTCCCAGCTGAATCCTCGATTTTGCTTGATTCTCTTATCCATTCTTAGTCAACTGCTTTTCCAGCTTTAGAGAAGTAGTAATAAAACCCCTACTTTTTCTTTACTTGCTTCATTTTATTGCACTCTGACAGTAAGAAGATAACCCATTCCCCATTGTCCTGAATTGAGAAAGAAAAAACCTGCAAATATGTATATCCATCTGTTACCAATTCTCTATACAAGTAATAGTGAATTGACAATCAGTGTTCAATGTTATCTCAGTGTCTTTTTAATGGGTAGAGGAGAATTTAAAATAGAATTTTCATTATACCACTTTGTATAGTATTTTTCTTCTGTAGCACACATACAAAACACATACAATCATGTAGAGGTTCATACATACATGTATTTTTATATGTATGTATATACACATATATGTACACACACAATATAATGTTTTTATTTTAAGTGTATATAAATATTTGCATCAACACACATATAATATGTGTCTTATTAAGTAGGCCATTTTGAAAGTAAATTGGAAAAGTATGACACTTGTTAAATTCTTCAGCTAACATCTTTAAAGTTTAAGGATAATTTTCTATACAACTATATTATTACACACAGAAATTTAGCAATAATTTCATTATGTTGGTTATTGTGTTATAAAACTTGCAATTATCTTAAGAAGTATCTCTCATTGGTTTTATTTTTGTTTGATGGTAAATTAGGGATAGACAGCTTCTATTTGAGATTTTTGATTTGTACTTGCTTGTTATTCTAATTTGATGACTATAATATTTGCATTTGTATTTCTTTTGCCTTTCTCTATATATATGTATGTTCAGTGAGCATAGATTCTTCTTAAGGTAGTAGAAATCTGTGACTGATCTGGAAGACCTAGAAGACTGTTGATGCTCACCTTAGTGTTGTAGTTTGAGATATTTCTGAGTCCACGGTTTAGAAGTGGATAAAGAATAGAATCTCATTTTAAATATGTATTCAAATCTAGGCTCCAACCAAAAACTGGGAAAGAGAGATAATAAGACTGACAAAAATCTTCAAACTGATCAAGGATTGAAACTCGAACAAAGATTTTCTCCACTGCTTGGTGCCTTAATTGTTACATAGTAGAATTAAACTCAGAAATTAAGAATAGTATATTCAGTAGGGTCTGGCATTGTCTCTTTGTCGGTTAAACAGCAATTACTTCCATCGAATTCTACTCTCAATTAGGTGTTTGACCCAAATCATCCTTGCAGACTTCAACACTTCTTTTGATTAAACACTTTCAGCTGCAGTATTTTTTACTTATCTTATAAATGGAGTTGTATTTTGAAGGCAAACTGAAATTTTGAAGATGTTGATTTTTGCCTGTGCTGTCTTCTAAATCTTGTCATTCTGGTCCACTTCTGCAAGCATTGAATCTGTCTAGACCATCTCTGTGTGAGCGGCTCTGAAGTTTCCTGATGCTTCATCTGAGATGTGACTGTTTATTCTGTTGTTTCTTGCTGCCTTCCTGAAGTTTACTGGGAAAGGAAATAAACTAATATTCAGGCTACCAAGTTTTTCAGATACTATTAGTTTCCACATAGCTGCGACCTGGGGAGGGAACATCCAGGTTGCTCTCTCCTTCTCAGAGATACACAAATGTTGGGAAACTACTAACTCTTCCCTTTTCCTCTATTTCCTACCCTTGACAGTAGGCAATCTTTGTCTAGTTTGATATGTGATTTGTCAACAATTTTTCCAAATTTTTGTTTTATGTTTTAAGCCCCATAGGACAAAGAAGTTTTGGAATTCTGTAACCTTTTATCTGTTCCTTGGCAAAAACACAAAAAACTTCCCAAACTGAATGTAGATAGCTGGTCATGAATATCAGCTGTCAGTGTATTTAGCCTCATCTTTAAAAAATAAAAAAAAAAGACTCATTTTTTCTTTATTTTCCAGAGTATCACAGAATGAAACCAACACCACAGCAATGTTTACATCAAAAAGACACTGAGTATTTTTAGGAAGGAATGAGAATTGGTTTGTAAAATTTAAAACATGAGTAGGAATAGCTTATGATTGACACACGGATGTAATATATCACTGTTGTTGTGGAGAGATGTCTAGAACTAATTTGGGTGGATGAAATTTTATTTTGCATACGTAATTCTACAAATAACTGCATTAGCATATTTCTTATTTTGTAACAAATAATCTTTAGTGAAAATTAGAAAAATTATGAAAGAAAATACCTTTGAAATTTATTCATTTATTTTACAGGAGTATAGGGATAGAAGAATCTTCATGATTATTTGTTTTCAGTTTGCCTTTTTTTCAGCTTTAATGTGAACTTTTCTCTTTCAACAGACTCTTCCCACATCAGGAGTTTCAGTCTCTGAGGTGCGTAAGCAAAAAAAAGTTCACACCTGTAATTATAGATCATTAAACATCTTATGCTGCTAAAAACACATTTTGGAATGTGTTGGTGATCTGCTAATAGGAATTTGTATATTTTTTTCTCATATTCTGATACTTGGATTTACAGGTCTTTAGGTTTTCATGATGGGCTATAATAGATTCGAAACATTTTAAGTTTACATATATATGTGTGTGTGTGTGTGTGTGTGTGTGTGATGGCAAACATTAGAAAAGAAAACAGAAAGTATTGAAATAAATTACGTTGGGAAAATACAGGTTATTTTGAAAAGAGTTTTGGCATGTGTCTAAGGATAGCATCATACCTATTTGCCAAGGTAAATGTAAATACCTTGCAAAAAATCTGAACAGTTCTATCCTCTAAATACTAAAATGTAGTTTCATTCATAGTAGAATGAGAAACTCTTCCTCACTCTAAAGTGCCCAGCACTTTAAAAAGAGTACATCTGCATTAATCTTTTAGCATATGATGTTGTATAGAGTCATTAGAATAAAATATTGTCACAGATTTTGTTCAAATTTGTCACATATTTCATTCAAAATAAAATGACTTATTTTGAAAGTCAATGCAGGATTTGATATAGCACTTATTTTCAGTAAAGTGTTAGCTTTGCATTTATCAAATAAAGCCTGCACATTGTTCTAGGAAGGTATCCTATTCAGTTTATTTTTTTTTTCCTGAAGAATAATCTCCACATGGCATTCTCCCCTTAAAACTGTATTTCAAATTTACTTGCTTGAGAAAGAAAAATACTATTTTGAAATTACCCATATAAGAATGTGGATTTATCTAGAAAATACAAAATGTACAGATATACTTGAAATGTAATGTTTTTTTTGGGGGGGGGAGCTTATTATTATTTTTTCCCTTGGCCAAACCACTATTTTCCATAGCCCATCTACTTCCCAAATATAAAGTATCCGATCTAAGAAAAATACTAAGTTATTTTTATTTATTTACATTAGTTGTTTTTATAATTATTATTAGAAGAATTGTTAAATTACATACTCAAGTGACAACAGTTTCTGGAAATTTTATCATTTTATTCTAATTATTTAAGTTAATTGTGTGCAGATATATATATATATATATATAAAACTTTCTACTATTGGTTTTCTTAGTCTACATATGGATATAGACATCAGTGAATGTCTGAAAACTCACACATGCACACACACAGCCTTATGTTCTGGGCTTCTTTGAGGGCACAGGTGTTCAATTCTCAGTGATATTGTGGTGTGAGTTTGATTTCAGGCCAGGGAGCTGACCCACATGGCATAGCAGACTGCTCCTGTCTTGCCATCTGCTCCCCTTAGCAGTGGATATCAGTAGATCTGCCCGTTCTGCTTCCCACTCTGTCTCCGGTGTATCCACTCAGGCCCTGGCCCACTGGGCTACACCCCAGTGCTTGTATACATACATAAATTAAAATAAATATTTAAAAAATCCTTATGTTCCACTGTCAGCAACAGTTATTCATTGGCTGATTAAAAATGCAGTTAAAAGTGTAAAAGTGTAATTGAAGGAAATTACAGAAAGGTACATACATACCTTAAGCATGATACTTAAATATGTAAATATGTTTTCAGTGACTGTATTTTGACATGGGGTTAAGGCCTTTTCTAAGGGGACAGATCTAACTTAGAAATGGTCAATAGCCCTTTTTGCATTTATCAGAGTGTTTGTATCTGCCATAGTTAGTCTCAGTTGTTTTAATGTGTAACAGTAGCTTAAGGACATTTGCAAGGTTAATTTGAGAATAAAAGAAAACCTCTCTTCAATTATTCTCAGATAATTCATAGATGTTTTCAAATTTTACTTGATCATTTCTCCTACACACACACATACACACAATTGGATTATTGTGTCTTACTGAAGCAAATAATTTGTCATGGAAACTACACTTTTCATTTTATACTTAGAATTTAGAGGTTGAATAATAATTTACAATGCTACAATAGCAAGGTAAATTATATTAGTTTTTAAGTTAAACACCTTGGGGATTGCAGGGGATTCTGTGTGTGATTTGTGTATTTAACTCAACTAACAGAAAAAGATGATTGGTCTGAGCTTACAGCAGGGCCGCTGTCATTTGCTTAACCGTTGGCTTCTCTTGGTCATGAGTATGGCTTACAAAGACAAAGAAGCTATAAATAAAATTCAGGTCTATATAAGTACACACAATTTTATAATAGCAGGTCATATACTAGTGCACAAACTAAATCAAATACCTTGGGCATGGACTCTCTCTGGAATTTATTTTCCTCTGATTAGGAATTCTTAAACAGAAATTGTGTATTTGTTTTATACCCACTATAAAACTATCCTGTGAGAGGCCCTCCCTGGTGGCGCAGTGGGTTAAAGCACTGCACTGAGAAACTAAAGCCACCTCCGCATGAGTTCGATTCCCGCCTGCCCCGGAGGCAACCACATGGCGAGGCAGACCTCTCCTGACCCGCCCGCTGCTCCCCTCAGCAGTGTACTTCGTCGATCTGCCTGTTCTGCTCCCCACTCTGTCTCTGGTGAGTCCTCTCACCCTCCGCATCTCTGGCCTGTACCCCAGTTCTGTACGAATAAATAAATAAATCTTAAAAAAAAAAAAAAACTATCTTGTGAGAAATAAGGGCATCATACATAGTGCATGAGAAATAGGCCTTGTGCATAGGGTTGCAAGTTGTACATTGCATCTTCAAGTTTGCATGGTATGTGACACATGCAGGGACTTTAATATGAGTCTTAATCCTGCCTTATATTAAAGACAGACTGTATTCTGTTATATTAATATTTGACCTCTTATCTCTCACTAAGTATTCTGCCCTGATCACAAAAATTATATACAATTATTGTGAGTGAGAAGGTAAAGTTCTATAAAGTAAATACAGTATTTCATAGCACATTTGTTAATTCCTACCACACTAACAGCACACCTGTGATAAACTTAATTGAAAAATGTAAGAGCCTTTTTTAAAGAATTCTGCTTGTTATTCATTATTTATAGTTTAAAGTAACTGCCCTTTACTGAGTGCCTGTTTTATGCAAGTACTTTTTTTTTTGCTTTTTCTCAGTTTGTCATCACATGAATTTCCTCATTTTATTGATGAATTATAAGGTTATTTAAAGAGATTTAATAACTTACCCAAGTCTGTATGGCAAGTAGAAAAGAAAACTTATTCCACACCCAACCCCATACTTTTGCCTTCACCCAAAGTTATTTTTGTTTTAAAGAAAATTATTTATTTAGCCAAATTAAAAAGAAATGGAAATCTTATAATATGATATGTATTAAAATTTATTTAAAGCCTTAAACTATTTCTTAAGCTCAGCCTACCTTGTTACTGAGCAAGAATAAGTTTTGCTATAATTTTAAAGGATTCCTCATAAATTTAGAGTCTACCATTTTTGAAATGATTTCATGTCCTTCAGAAAAATGTTCAAATCCCACAACAGTGAAAGGTGTAGCTTTCAGTAATTTGTTCTCTCAGAGCTCTAGGACAGTATAAGTCATGATGAAGGTGGTAACAACTCCGCTTCAGGGAGATATTTTATGTGGTAAATACATATCTGCTACATTTGGTTATAATTTTAGGCTTTCCGTGAAGTTTCTGTGGCATAGATCTAGTGGCAGAAAGGGTTGTCTCTGGCTCAGAAAGTTGATCAGGAGAGACGAAAGTGAGGTTCTGGATTCTAGTGCAGGAGGCTGTTGGCAGCAAAGCACCATCCTTTGTTGTCTGCACCAATTGAAGTGCTTTGCCGTTACATGTCTCTCATGCTAGAATTGGACAAAAAGAAGAAAACCCCATGGCTGAGGCAATCATCACTTGCTGCTTAGTTTGTAAGTGATCAATAACAGCAGGTTTAAATGTTGTGTTGTGCATTCATTTTTTGAAAGCAGTTTTCAGAAATATACAAATACTCAACCTCTGAGAAGCAGCATGATATAGAAGAGATTTTCTACAGAGCACATAGTTCAAGTGATGTCTTTTTATTTCATTTATCTCATCTTTCTGTTTTCTATGAATGGTTTTCTGGGCTTTTCTTTTGTGTTTATTAAGGTGATTATCTTTTGGAATTCTAATACAATATATTCCCCAGTTAAGATCTTTTGTGCTACTTGTGGACACCAAAGTTCACAAACATTGAATTCTATATTTAAAATGTCTGCATAGCAAACACAAGTGGTTGATATTTGAAATGCTGAAATATCAATAACTATTTTATATTTTGTAATTATAGGTTCTATATTCTTTCATGATTATTTCTTAGCTAGAGTAACTCTTTTCAACATTTCAATCATTTATATTGATTACAACAATAATTTTCCAACTCTTTTTTTTTTTGTATTGGGATAATTTATCTGACAGAACAACAGTTGCCTTAATTATAACATGAAATGTACATTGTGTTTTTAGAGCCCAAAAAAAAAAAAAAAAAAAAAAAAAAAACCTGAAAATGAAGTGATAGACATTACCTCCTATTAGCAGACAGTAATTTTATTCTCAACAATAATGGAAATAAGTTTGGTGTGCTCTTCCTGAGATTTTTCAATAAGACCGCCTTTGAGAGTAATTCTCTGAAATATCATAACATATTTCTCACTATTCAAGGTTAATAAATTTTCAAAAATATGTGAATTTTTTTTGTGGACATATGTACAAAAATGCAATTGCTTCCTCTTTCCTGTCCTTCATTTAGTATGGAAAGGAAGTACAGATTTTTATCAATGGAGATACGGAAAAGTGTCTAGTTACCCTCCTATTAGTGTATGCTGTTTAAAAAAATGCAATGTAGAAATAAGCATAAATGAATACGTGAAAAGACATATATGGAGAAAATTACGTGTATGTGTGTGTCTCCAGCTTTTAAATTTTCAACCTGGATTAATTAATAAATTCCATTCACTGGGTACATTTCCCTCAAACAAGGAAACCACTTTGCTTTCTTTGTGTATATGTTTAAATAAAGATTTACTATTTTAATAAATTATATAATGAAATTTACATACAGATGGATATGCTAACAATTCTTAATTTGTTACATACTTTTTCTGATAACTCTAGGTTTCGAAAGTAAAATATCACCAAGTGAAAGCTCAAATTTCAGTTTCAAAATTTGCTCTGTTACTATATAAAGCAGTGTATATTTCATCTACACCAGTTTGCTCAGGGTGTTGACTCTGGAGAGACATAAAGCCACTTAATCAACTGCTGTTTGCTCACTGGGAATTCTTACTACACAGGAATGTCCCTCCTTTATGCATTCCCAAGGCTAACATAATACTAAAAGATGATTTGGTAATTCTTACAAATGCACACATACATATCTTTTCAAAGGTTTTATGTATTTATTTATTTTGAATACCCAAATTGGGGGTGTAGGTTAGATGTGCAGGGGATTGAGAAGATTTACCAGAGATAGTATGGAGCCTAACTGGCCTATCTACTGAGATACACTGCTGAGGGGTACAGTGGTAGACAGATGAGATCTGCTGTACCATATGGGTCAGTTCCATGGCTGGAGATTGAACTCTTGACGCAGTGGTTGGTGATTGCTTGATAGGGCTGTCCTTAACCTTATGCCACCAAGGAGGCCATGAAAATAGATCATTTTTACTAAGCTTCCAGTATTACTTATCTGAACTCTTAATACAAGCTGTAGATTATTGGCTATAAACAGTGACCTTACTTATTAAACATATACCTAATAGAATTTTTGTCATAGGTACATACTCAGAAGTATAATGAAAACTTTATCTAATTATAGCGTTAATAAGAGAACCATACCTATTTTACTTTATTCATAGTAGCTTCAGTGTATGAATATAATTCACTATAAGCAGACTGGTAGAATTTTAATTTTTTTTCTTTAAATCTTATAGAAGGAGTAGGCATTACTTTTTCCAGTTTGAGTAAGGTTAGATAATACTTTTATTAATAATTATGTTAATAGAGATGGAATTCAACTCAGGCTTTCTGACACCTGACCACATTCTAGTCATCCACATTTTCTATGCATTATAACCTTTAATATCTATGGACACAATTATATATCTATATATGTATGTATGCAATGTATGTATGTATGCATGCATGCATGTATGTGTGTGTCACATATGCTGAAGGAAATAGAGAAGCCTATTGAAGATTTGACCACAAAGCTGAAATACTGAGAGAAAAGCCAAAAAATAGATAACTTTTCATTAGAGGAATTATTCAAGAGCCCTGGACAATAAACAGAACATATTTGTGACAAAGGGACAATGAAGAAGAGGTGGTTATAGTTGGAGTGCAGTGGAGAGGGGTGAGTAGGGCACGTATGTGGAGAATTGACTGAGGTAGTGCTTAGTACCAGATGATTTCAATCTAAATTTTAAACCATTATTATCAGCTGTCCCATTGTTTATAAAATAAATAGCTTTGGTCTTTAAATAACTTGTAGTAGAGTGGTAACCATGCATATGGATAATACCATGTGCTCTTTTTCATATCCTTTAAGAGATATTTTGATCATCTCTGTGTCATATAAGTTGAGTCTTTTAAAAGGAGTAGTTCTCATATTATTCACTGGAAACTCAATTTAGAAACTTGGGCTCAAGTTTGTAGTCCTGAAATTCTTTTATATGTTACTCATTTTAGTAAAACAGCATTCTTACAACAGGTCTTTGTTTTTCCTTACACAGGAAAGAATAACGACAGTGAAAAAGGAAAAGGGTGGTTCTCAGCAGCCAAACAAAGTGACTGACAAGAACAAAATGCAAAGAGCCAACTCTGTTACCATGGATGGACAAGGCCTACAGGTATTTCTTCCAATTAACATTTTTTTTTAAGATTTATTTATTTATTCGTACAGAACTGGGGTACAGTCCAGAGATGCGGAGGGTGAGAGGATTCACCGGAGACAGAGTGGGGAGCAGAACAGGCAGATCGACGAAGTACACTGCTGAAGGGAGCAGCGGGTGGCTCAGGAGAGGTCTGCCACACCATGTGGTCACCTCCGGGGCAGGCGGGAATCGAACTCATGGGAAAGTGGCTTAAGCTTCTTTGTGTTGTGCTTTAACCTGCTGCGTCACCAGGGAGGGCCCCAATTAACATTTTAATAGATTTCATAAGCTGGACATATGTCCAGCTATCAACACATTTATTTAATATGAGATTAGCTTAGTAAATGACTTCAGAAAGATACTATTAATTTATTAAGATGTCAGTTTATAGTTGATTGACAGTGTGATTAAATTAATTGTTTAGGATATTATCTACATTTAAATTCAAACTGGTAAGAGATTGTCAATCATAATATTTTGCAAATTATTACTAAATATATTTTATTGTATACATATGTATCATTTGTTTCTATACTTTATATACATATATATATATATATATATATATATCTTGGGAGAGTCATTTCATTGATAAAACAATGTCATTGAAAATGAGTAAAACAAACTCTATTTGTGTGGATATTTTGTTTTAAATGAATAATAAAATAAAGAATATTTATAAATTATCCCTGGTAGGGATAGAGACAGAGACAGAGTTGGGAAGAGAGCAGGTATATCTGTTGAAGTCCATTGCTAAGGGGAGAAGTGGGCAAGACTGGACATGTTTGCAGTACCATGTAGGTTAGTTCCCTAGTTCCCAGGCTGGGGATCGAACTCATGCTGCAGTAACTGCGGTAGCTTGA